ACCTCTATCATTAATATTGGTTTTTTGGCACCAGAGGGAAAAAATGTGATATTAGTAATTCCCTTGGAGAAGCTTAGATGAACACTAAATTTCAGTTTTCTGGGCCAAAATGTATTTGTCCCTCTCTCCTTTTAACCTAATGTGAAGGATTAATGATGAGACACTACTCCCAATATTTTTCGTTAGAGCCCCCAGATTAGGCATTTCACTAGCTTTAATGCCTTCTATATTAATTAAAGATAATTTCAATTAATTTCATGTAATAATTAAAAGATGTTTATAATGCCCTTTGAAGTATTTGGTATTGGGAGAGGATAATCAGGAAAACGGCAGCGGTCTATTTCTGTGTAATTTCAAGCCGAACTCACTAAAATTTAATTCCCACTTCGTCTCTGCATGAAAATTTCCCCATGAACTTTTCTTTCCTGTAATTTCACTTATAAAATCGGAAAACCCAAAGTGGTTAGCTCTGAGCACAAATAGAGTCTTCAATAAGAAAATAACGTTGGATGATGAGTGGAAGATCGGTATTCAGAATCACTGCGCCCAGCTGTGTGCTCTACTCTATCCCAAACAGTACAGTCTTCCTTTGGTGCACCTTAGGCCTTTGTGCGTCTTAGAGGTTGTCCGTGGTGCAAAGGTGGGCGGTGGAACCGAGCGAGTGACTTCCCTGCCCCTGCGAACGGAGAGGCCCTGTTCGCCTTCCTGTTAGCGGGTACCTTCCACAGGCATTACACAGGGCTCTGTAAAAAGACTCCAGCTCTCACCCCATCCCCTGTACTCCCACTGCCCTTCAGCAGTTTGCTGTTGTCATTTCTAAGGGATGGAGAGGATTCGAATCCCTTCTCTCTGCATGCTGGATTCTATTGTGACATCGCTCTGGGAACTCAATTCTACACAGAACGTCTTCCCAAGCCTCCCTTGCAGTCAGTCGTCATTGAGATGCACTTTCCCAGTCTCGCGCGCCCGGAGAGCAACTAATTTGGTCTCTGTCCGACCACCGGGAGAAACCATCCCCTTTAGAACAAACCATTCCCATCGGCCAATGACAAATTCAGACTTAGCCTCCCCGCCTCCCCTCTCTCTCCACACAAGGTCACTTACGAAGGAGCCACCTCCACGGAAGACCGTTTTGACCTGGCAGGCAGCAGTCTTGCGCGTGTGCAATAGACCTCACACTTGGCTCTCCGCTCTCTGACCCACACTGGTTCAGGGGCGCACGCACAGACGGGACAGGAGATCCTCACTAGGGACCCTAGCACAGGCAAAACTTGAATGCCTCAATCCTGTGCTACGCACAACCTGGCTGCCATTTAACCCTGGCTGCTGTCTGCCCCACACAAGCAGATTCTTCCCACTGCCCTCAAGTTCATCACTCCGCGCCTCTCCTCCAGTTACTTAAATAACAGTAAAGTTACTTGTTCTGTTTCCACCCAATAAGTTCCCTATTGGGGACTTGGGATGGGTGTCAGGATTTAAATCTCAGTGTTTTACTCTAAGCTATAAACTGGCAGTTGATCTCAACTAACTCTAAAAAAGAAAGAAGCGGCCTAAAGTAAACGCGTTTTCTGCGCGGGCTTTTCTTTACTAGGCGTTGCACGAGTGGCGGTACACCAGGGTACGATCGCCCGACGTGTGCGCGCAGAGTGACGATTTGCCTTCTTGAGTGTGGCCACCCGCGGGCACCGCCACCTCTCTAGAACTTAAGGGTCCGCCTCGGCTTTGGGACTCTGGGCAACGAGCTCTGGTAAAGGAAATCCTTCCGCAAAAGGTTTGAATTATTTCACGCCGCGGGACACCAGGCCTTGGCCGGGCTCATCTGGAGATCTGGGCCGGAGAAGTCCAACCCAGAGCTGGGGAGGCCCGTGGAGCCGAGGCAGGCTAGGTCCCAGCGCAGATGGCGCCGCCGCATGCCTGAAATATACTTCCAAGGTCGCAGTCAGAGCAGCTGTTTTGGACCAGGCAGAGCGAAAGTTTCCTTCGCTGCTGCTTCAAGGAAGGCGGGGGCGAGCAGGCCCGAGAGCCTAACTCCTGGGAGATTGGTCTCGAGACCCTCCCCAGACTATGAGCACTGAGTCCTAGCGAATGTAGGCGTGGGCGTGATGAGAGCGCGCCACTCAGGCCCCTCTCCAAAAACCGGCGGGCCTGGAGGTTTTGGGGGGCAACGAGACTGGTGGAAATTTTCTAAATACATACTGTGTGCCCTCTGACGTGTGAATGTCTACAGCGCCGGGCTGCTTCCCCCGCTATTGCAGGTTGGCGCCCCAGGCTGTGGGCGCTTGGACGCCCTGTCCTGACGCGGAAAGAAAAATGACCTGGGGGTGGGGGGCGCACGGGGGCGAGGAAAGTCAAGTCTTCGAATAAAAACGAAAAGAAAAATGTGACTCAGGTTGTCTGAGGATCCCTGAAGTCACTCGGGTAATGCGGCTGAAAGCTGGGGGGTACTAGTCAGAGAAAGGTAATGGTGAGAATGTTCAGGCGGGTGTTAAGTTTGGATTCTGTTGTGTTTTTCCTTGTCCTGTCTGGTTATCCACCTAGGGAGACGGAAGCGCGAGGTGATTCCAGTCCCCTCTGCGCCCTCATCGAGAAAAAAAGCCAGTTTAAACAAAATCTCCAAGCCCAGTGGGGCTGCCTGCCCTAGGTTTAATGAATCCTGAGTCCACCTCCTCCTTTCACTCCCCCCAATATACACAACTTTAAATGTGGCCTTGTGTTTACTAGGGTGCTGTGTTAGGGGAAAAAAGGGAATACAAGGCCTAAATCGAATCCCTAAAGTGTAGTCTTGCCTTGCTCTCGCCACTACCCTGTCCCTGTGCACCGCGCTGTGGTGGAAGGATCCCGAAGTCCCACCTCCTCCCCTCCCCAGAGTCTCCACACCATTGCACCCTATTTCAGAAAGATCTTTTCTGGATCTATGTCCAGGCTCCTAAGACAGCCTCAGCCACTGTGGGGCTTCAACTTGGTGATCCCCTTGGTCCCACGGCGCGGCGAGGCCTGGCCCTAGCCCGGCTCCACAGAAGGCCTGCGAATGCTCTCTGCTTTCTGCTCCTTCCTCTTCCCGGGCCTTGGACCCACAAACATATTTCGTTCCCTCTCTAATCCAAACGCCCATCTTGCCTTTAAATAATTTTTTTTTAATGATATAGATAATGGGAACAAAACTCTCAGTTATGTAAAGTTCTTTTATGGAAGTTCCTCCTCCCTCTCTCACTCTGCCGCCGAGTGGAAAGGAGTGAAGAGGATTCTGGAGACGAGAATCTGCGTTCCTACCCCTGCACTGGTCTCTCCTTACTCGGAACCCCTCACTTACTCCTTCCAAGAGCTAAATCCTTGATTTAAGATCCAGTGTGTGGGTCCTTTCTAACTTGAGATCCCAGAAGGGCAGGGGACGACTTGGGGCCTCCCAAGAGAAAAGTTCCGGCGAACAGAGTGTCTGCCACGCGCACTAAATTAGTTCAAACATTTCTGTCATCTAGAAAATTCGCTATGAGTCGGAACCGTCTCCACGGCACTTAACAGGAACAACCCTCTCAAATAGTGTTTAGTCATAAGGCTTGGAAGAACGTTCACTGACTGAAGGTCCTAGCGAAATTCTGACTACAGATAAATACGGTGAGGAAACAGGGTCTGGCGAGAAAAAGGAAAACACATTCGCCACGCGTTCCTTTCTGGATTGCCCACGCACGGATTCGCGTGGACAGGCACTTGCATCCAAATACAGGAAAAGTCTTGATCGGACGAAATCAATCTCCTTTTAATTTTCTTTTCGTCGACTAATAAAAATAATTCCCCAACACTAATCCAAATACCGTAACTGGCCACAAAAACACGGAAAATTCATAAAACCCTGTCTCTGCAGGTCACCCGCTAATCGAGTTATTATTAGCCTCAGGAGCATGGAAATTGAACTGTCACTGCCGAAAGAGAAAATCTAAGCGACAGCTGTCCCTCTTCGGGTCGGCCCGTTTTCGGGCTGGGATCCCGGGCTGTGTCCCCAAACTCTCCACCCGGCGGCCACCCGATGGCCAGGCGGGTCACCGCCTCCCTGGGTTTGTCCCCGCGGTGATCAGTGATTGATCGTAATCTACTCCCCAATCCTAGCTGGGTGAGTAAAACACCTCTAGTGTGGTTTTAGAAGCTGGGGCTGAAAAGTTTCTGAAGCCGTCAAAGCAAGTTGCGAGCGTTGTGAGCGCGCGCGCGCGCAACATTCTTCGGACAACAGCTGTTCCCCGGGGCTGTTTTGCACAGTTGAACTCTTGGCACTAAATACTATGCGTTAGGTTGCCTCGGCGTACAGTTCTATTAAAATACAGACATCGACAACTCATGTGCTTTTACGTACGTGCATACCTAAAATGCACATATTGCGCAGAGATCCGAGATACAAATGAATCGCAAAACAAGCTCCCAAAATACACACAGAGATGGTGTCTCCGGCACAGAGTAGGTGCCATTCTAAGATTCTCTAACATCCATTCTTGTTTCCACAAACCCCAGCAGAACAGAAATATAAGCACGTTCACGCTCTCCGGAAACTGGGGAAACACAGCAAGTTGTGTCTCAGAAAAGTTGGTGGAGGAAGGGCAAGGACCCGGACTGCATACTAAAATGAGTATTTACCAAGACTGGAGACAGGGGTGTCAGGGCCTAAAACTGCTCCCGTCAGACGGGAGCTCTGGGAAGTTAATCTGGGCTCCCCTCCTTTGCTTTAGACCCACGCCCCTCCTAACCCCCAGGGGCCTGTAGCTCTTCAACTGCAGGCACACAACAGGCCTCCTTGCTCGTGTTGGCGACTAAAATACGGGACTCCCACCAGTCCCTTAAATTGGTGCCGGCGAATTTAAGGAGATCCGAGGCATTAGCGAGAAAGAAAGGGAACCCGCATTGGAGAAGAGCAGGATGTTAGGAGTCAGGCTTCCCTCCTCACCACTCCGCCCGCCGACTGGCTGCTCGGCGTCCCCACTCCGCCCGCCTCCGGAGCTCCAGCCCGAAGCACTCACCCGGGTGGGGCTCCAGGCAGTGCGCGGCCGAGTCCTCGGTGTCTCCGAGTGGGCCCGCGGGGCTCAGCGCCTCCATGGACAGGTCTAGCCCCTTCTCCTCCCAGTCTCGCAGTTTCCGCTTTTTATTTGAGCCGATTAAGGCTTCAACGGAGAAGGCATGTGCTCGAGAGCTCAGGGCGACTGCAGATCTTCTCCTTTCACTCATCTTAGCCGCCCGCACCCTGGCCCCCGCTCACTCCGCTACTCCTCAGGAGCCCGCTTCCTCACGCTCCGAGCGCCTACCGGGCTGGGCCCGGGAAAGGCGGCGGCACTGTGACCCAGGCCGAGGCGGCGGCTCCGCGGGATCTCTATACCCTCCTCCAGGGCCCTCCCCCGCCCTCCGTTGCAGGCTCCGACAGGCGCCCCCAGCTGTCCCAGCCGCTAGGAACGAGCGCCGGGAGCGCCTCCCGCTCGCTGCTAGAGCGCCCGAGTCCCCGCTTCCCACCCACCGGGCGCTCACAGGCTATGCCGACTGGACTTCATCTTTTTTTTATTCTCTCTCTCCCCTCCCTCTCTTTTTCTCTCCTCCCTCTCTCTCTTTCTCTCAATCTTCCCGTCTTTCCTCTGATCCAAACTTCTGGGAAACTTTTTTTTCCCCTCTAAGTTCCTCCCTTCCCAACGAGCTGGGGGCAGGCGGTGCGCTCCCTTCACAGGGGCAAGGGAGAGGGAGGGGGGAGGAAGAGAAAGACCGAGGGGGGGGGTAAGCCAGCCCCCAACCAATGGCAAGAAGGGAACAGGAGAAACCCTGCGAGCACAGGCCAATGAGAGGAGGAGAGAGACTGAGGCTTCGGTCAGACCTCGGCGCGCCGGCGTCCCCGCGACACTCCAGGACCCACGTTAACCCCTGGCTTCCCGGTCCCTGAATGAGTTCTCGTGGAGGGTGAGGGGAGAGGACTGAAAGCTGAGGTCTGATCTGCGCTGTAACAAACTCCTGCAAATCCCCAAGTCCGTACCTTTTCCTCCGAAATCTGCTTGATCTCACAGACGCTGCAAATCCAGTCATTTTTAGGCAGATCTGGAATTTTGGGGTCCTGTCCAAAAACGTTAGAAAACGACTCTGATTATCTTGCCTGCCCCCAGGTGCTTTTAGACCTGCTGGTGTGGCCCGATTTCCCCCCACGCAGGTTCTTACAATTCCGTAAGAGCGTTTTCTAAGCAACTATGGTTAATGCAAAACGAAAGGAAACAACGCAAAAAAGTCCTTTACTAGCCAGGGTCTTTAAGATCCAAAGATCGCTTTCTCGCTCCAGCTCTACCCGATAGAAAAAGACGCTGCCCTTGAAGCCAAAGGTGGCTGCGCAGAGCAAACCTTGCGCTCTGCAGGCGGGTCCCAGATGGGCCCGCACGCAGAAAATTCTCGCATTCCCTGCGGTACCGATACGTTGCCTGTGGGCCGCGCTGCGCCTGCTCTGGGCGTTTTTGAGGAGAGGCGCTTGACCGGCAGCCTTGACAGAAGAGAGCTTTTCCTTTCCTTCAAACCCGGTGACCTCAAGAGTCCTCGGTTCTCCCCGCCCAGCTGACACCCTCCCATTAAAAAGAAAAGAAATCTTACAGGACAGTGCATTCATCAGGAATTTCTAAGGAACTTAAAATTCAACAATCGTGGACATTGTTATTTTCCACACCCTCTCCCCAGGCTCAGACTGGAGGAGAAGTCGGTCTCTCCTAGCTAGGAAAACGTCTCGGGTTTCGCGAACCACGTCCTAGCCACAGCCGGAGCTTCCCGGTTCCCAATGCCTTAGTCTAGACGTTTCAGTCCTCCTTCGTAGAGGCAAGGAAGAACTAAACTAGACCCGGGGTTGGGGTGGGGGCATGGAATGAATGAGCTAGGGACCGAGCAGCCCAACAGGCAAGACTCGCAGTTAGACCTTGAACAGGTTGCGAACATGCGAGGGAAAGAGGGAGCGCGCCCACGACGAGTCAGAGGCCTCCGTAAACCAACGCCTGCCGGTTCTCCCACACCAGAGTGAAAAGGGTCGGCGCGTGGGGCCTATGAAACGCAGTGTTCCAGGTCTGACCGCTGAGAGGCACAAAAGAAAATGTAGTCCTTGCTATAATGGGGAGCGCGCTGATGGATACAACAACCGAGGGTCGTGAATGCGCCTCGGACCTTTTCAGCTCCAGAAAGGAGAGCAAAAAAGCCATTTGGGGGACCCCTCAGCCCGGAGGAGGGGAAGCTAGCAACAGGGTGAGTGTGATTCAGCCAGGTCTGGGCCTTATTGAGCATCAGAGAGCCTGAATCTCTAGCTTTAGGAGCCCTAGGGAACATGTCCAAGAACCCTGGGGAGCTGAATTGAGCAGCACTGCTGCCCCGCGAATTTTGGGAGCCCTTGCAAGATCCTTACCAAAGTGCATATTCACCAGGAATGGGCCTCAGCCAAAGAATTGGAGACAAGCCTAAGAGCAAGTAATTCCCTTCCCCTTCTTCAGCCCTCGTTCCCTACTATGGGAGCATTCTCCGAGAGGCTGGCCCAGACCAAGAGCAGTGGGGTAACGATGAGGCCAGCCTCTAGTTTTCTCTGGCTCTTTCCTCCACCCCATCTCCTGTATCTTCTCTGGCAGCCACTGCACCTTTGCACTCTCCCAGATGTCTGTTTTGGTTTGAAAAGTGAGTAACTATTCTAAGCCACACACTCTTCCTCGGGCCAAGAAAGTTACTCTAAAAGAGGCCGTTTCGGTTACCCATGCACCTAAGTGCAGGCCAGAGGGCTATAGATGTAGGTGTCCTCTGTGCACACCAGTTGGACAGATGCACCTAGAAATGTCTACAATGTCTTCAAGGATGTGTGTGCACAACCCGCCCAAGTGCATAGCTCCAGGTCTATGAGCTCTTAGAGTTCTTACATCCTCTCTGCAGTTTGCACAAAGGTTCCAAAACCCTCATCCCATATGCACATATTCTGGAATTGTGGATTAAGTTATTCAAATGTGACCCAATTAAACAGGCAGGCTGGTGTGCAAAGCATGAACGTGGGCTCTTTCCTCTAGATAACACAGGTCTAGGTAAAGTTGAGGGGCAGGATATTTTTCTTTTCATGACTGGTCAGTTTACGGTTTTTTCTCAAGGAATGCATTCCTTGCTGTGCAACTCGGCTGATGGGGAGGGAGGGAGGTCTGGAGAAATATTCAACAGGATGGTTTACTCTGTGTTTTAGGTGTATGTGGTTGGGAGAGGAAGGGAGAGATTAGGGGGATTCAATATAAGAAGCTGGGGTTATAATCTTCTTTTTCCTTTCATTGATGACACCAAATAACTTGCAAAAAATCTTCTCCCACCTTCCCCCAGTTTCCTTCTTCTTTAACCTTTAGGAATAAGAGTGGGGTCCCTAAAGTATGAGGCTTATTCCTGAGGCAATCCCTGGGTTTCACAGTCCTTGGAGCCTACAGACTGGCAGTCTATTCTAGGTCTGCTTTAGGTCTAAAGCTGATGGACAAGGACCAGGTCAGATTCCCCACCCTATTCTTTGGAGTCCTAGTATGGTACTGTAGGATAAGCACTGGACTGCTAACTGAAAGGCTGGTAATTCAAACTCACCAGCCACTTCTTGGAAACCCTATCTATGCAAAGTTGCTATGAGTCAGAACTGACTCCGCAGCACTTAACAATAACAACAATTCTTTGCAGGACCCCAAAGAGCAATAAAAAGTTGTGGGAGTATCTAAGAAGTGAGAGAGGGTAACATAGTGACTGATCACCTGCAACTGAACTTGTCCATTTGAGACATTTTCATTTCTCAAAGGAACAACAGAGCTCTGCAGCAGTGTAGCACAAGAGTCATAAACACAAACACCCATTTCTAGAAATGGAGCCCCCACAGCCTCCACATACTTGTCTTGCCCTCCCATTTCCCCACCCTAAATGCCACCATTACTGCTGAAGTGTTAAAAATTAAAATCCGACTTTGATTTTGGAGTTTTGAGTCAGTGATTGAAAACAAAGTTTAAAATACAGTAGTTAGTCATTGGGACATGTTAGGCTGGGCAGCACACCTTGTGGGGATGAGAATTACAGTGCTTTCTCAGTGTGTACCAGAAAGCCAAACCTTTGCCATCAAGTCAGTTCTGACTCACATTGATCCCGTACAGGATTTCTGAGGCTGTCAATCTTTTTATGAACAGAAAGCTTCATCTTTCTCCTGCCAAGCAGCTGGTGGGTTTGAACTGCCAACCTTGCTGTTGGCAGCCCAGCATCACCAGGGCTCCCTTCTCACTGTGTAGATATCAAATATTAGAGGAGAGTATGGGCTATGGTGGTTTGAAGCACAATGTCGGAGTTTTAAATCCACCAGCTACTCCTCAGAAATCCTATACAGGGTCGCAATGAGTTGGAACCAACTCAATGGCACTTAACCAACAACAACATGAAATATGGAAGGACCTATGGTAGTGCAGGGATTAAACACTCAGATAACTGAAAGGTCCAAGGTTCAAACCTACCAGTTGCTCAATCAGCGCTGCTCCACTGGAGAAAAGTGGCAGTCTGCTCCCCAAAAGAGACTGCAGCCTTGGAAACCCTGTAGGTCAGTTCTACTCTGTCCTACAGGACCACTATGAGTTAATAGACTTCACTGCCTCGGGTTTGTTTTTGAAAGGAGTATAGGAACCACCAGAAATTCCAAGGCAAGGTGGAACCATTGCCTTGGTGGGTTAAATGGCCTAATGCCTCTGTTTCCCTGTTGCAGGCTGAACTCCCAAAAAAAGTCCTAAACACTTTTGTTGTTGCTGTTAAGTGCCATGGACTGTGTTCCAAGGTGCTGTGGGATAATGCGTGGATCATCGCCAAGTTGGCAGGTCAAAATCACCAGCCGCTCCTAGGAAACCCTATACAGAGTCGAACTGATTGACTCAAAGGCAATTAACAACAACAACAGCAAGGAGCAGCTGGTGCGTTTGAACTGCTGGTCTTGAAGTTAGCACAACACCAGGACCCTTTAACAACTAAGCAAAACCGACAAGATAATCTGTCCAGGGCTGAACAGATGCGAGGTTGCACTATTGTTGTGATTCAGTCTTCCAGGAATGTGAGGTTGATGGTCTCCCCTTTTCCTTCTTTTCTCAAACTGACTCTCCAGAAGCAACAAAAGAGCATGAAATGGGGAGGCATAATTGACTTGGAACCCTGGAGTAGGGCTATAAGGCTGTCCTTTCCTGGAAATGCTTGCCCAA